CAGTGGGCCTAGTGTGATCCTGTGCAGGTTTCCCCACTATCAGTCCAGAGTCAGTGAGCTCCCACTAGTTCAGGTCAGCTGTCTCTGGGTATCACCATTATGGTCTTGACCCCTTTGCTCATATTATCATTCTTCCTTCTCTGGGACTGGCCTCCAGAAGCCTGGCCCCATGCTTCCCTGTGGATCTCTGTATCTGCTTCCATCAGTTGCCGGATGAAGGGTTTATGACAGTTAAGGTAGCATGACTGCCAGTTTTCATGGGACCTTGAACAACATAACTCCTGCCTGTGCCATACAATGTCTTGATACTTGGGCTTTAGGACTCAACAGGCTTGATGGTAAACACACATATCATATAGAGTTTCTGGCAAACCCCAAATGAGAATTGCAGCACTAAGGATATATAGGATTTTGAGATATGAACATTGCCAGATCTGTGATATCTACACCACTGAGAACACTTAGCTTACTGCCAGGCATTTGGTGACTGTTTAACAGCAGACTGTGGGATACTAAGTGACTGTGTGACGTAGACTGCTCTTTAGGAACTACGTGTGATCTAATTCACCAAATCCTAAGTGCAGGCTTCAGAATTCCACTGCTGAATGAAATAGTGCATCCTGGGAAAGCTTGGCACAGTCTGGAAGCACAGGTAAATTTCTAACAAACTTCCATGGCATCCGCCCTTCTCACCCATACCCCATACCCCTTTTCTTCTACTTACACATTAGACGTCCACCCTGGCTCAGGGTCATTAAGCAGAGGAAGAATGTGTGCAGGCCTGGTTTATGATCAGTTAGCATTCTGTGTTAGCACCAATGTGAAGCAGCTTGCTGCTGATTTATGGCCCCGATTCCACACAGAGGAATGACAATGAAGAGAAATTCTCCCAGTGGCTACAGTGTTGAGCAGTACATTTCATTGACCTTTTTGTTAGGAAGGAGAACTGGCCTGAGGAATGAATCAATATTGATTTATGCACAGTAGATAATAGATTAGCCAGTGACTTGGAAAGAAGAAGATTAAAATTAAGGAAATCAGTAGATATGGTATTGTGGAAGGGTTATTAGAATTATACAAAATGTGAAAATATTTGTGAACCGTAGTACCCCCACCCGAGGGTATCCACCCTGATAAGTGATTCCTCAAGAGATCTGCCCTGTAGATGTCAGCCAGCTTGTCTCTTAGCCCGGTCACTGTAGTGCTTGCTTAGTTGCCCCACATGGCAATGAGAACTTAAGGTAAATAGTCTACTTAACAGTATGGATTTCTGATTGCCAAGTATAATCCAGTACTGTCATCATGGAGTGTTTACTTGCTTACAGCAGAGGCCATTACAGAGACCCATGTCTGATATTGTTGTCCAGATCAGTCAGTCATCTGGTGGTAATTTAATTGTACTAGATCTTCTCTATGATGATGGGAAAGGCGATTTGCCTCCACAGAAATAGTTATATATTGCACACGGTTTGTCTTTCCTGTCCGTAAAGCCCCTTCTGGTGTCGTCCCCCACGGGCTCATAGGACATCTTGTTTCATATTCATTCTTCACTGCCACAAACAGCATTGTCTTTGGACAAGAAACGGAGTTTGCTAAGAATGCAGTGTGTCGGGATGGTCTGCCTGTGGAGTTAGGTGCTTTGGCCTCACACCCATGAGTCAGAAATGGCTAATTAATATAATGGGGGTGGGTGTTTGCTAACTGAGATGTGGTCTCTGAGAAGATATGGCATACAAATTCACCCAGTGTTCATATTCTGCAGTCTATAATCCATGGTCAGAATTCATGGGCCTGTGAACCAACGGTTAGATGTATCATTGCTCTTAGATTATTCCTAATAATTCTTGGATAATTTTGTCCTTATAGTTTATTCTCTGTAATTTTGTCTCTATACACGGGGCTTGGTGGGTTTGAAGGCCCCACTCGACAAGGGACAGATATCTTTCCTCATATAAGTGAATCACACTTCTATTAACTGAGAAATTGAAGCTACTACACAGCTGCTTTTTTGTCCTCAGGCCCACGAACCAACAGACCAGAGAAGGATCACTGCATTGGTTGGTGTTACTGTTCCTAGTTACTACAGGGACGTTGGTTGTTGCTGCACAAAGGGAGGAGACTATGTCTGGATCGCATCAATACTCAACGTTAGCTAGAATACTAATGCTCAGGAGAACAGGTAGCCTGGATCGTACGAGGGAAGCCCCAAGGATGGAAGAAAGGACAAATCGTGGTCTTTTGAAGGCACCATGTTCAATGTTAATGATATTCCTTCCATGAGAGAGAAATATTTTTCTTAGTTAAACCACTAGAATTTGTTTTACAGCAGCCCAATTTATTTCCTAAAAAGTATAATCTGTGATATGTTGAGCTGATGAATTAGCTAAGGTCAACCTGTCTTCCAACAAATTTTCTCGTGAGAGAAATAGCCTATTTTATTTAAGTCTTTTTGAGATATATGCAAAAGCATGTTAATCAATACAAATACCTCTTCAAAATTGCTTGTTATAGACTCTATAACATAGACGGTATGTCATAGACTCTATAATATAGAGGGAACTGCAAGTTTGGGCATCAGTATTGGAAAAACTACTGATTTAGGAAGGACTTTACTTGTGATAAGGTAAAATGAATATGACAAAGGACCAACAGAAGAAAAATAAATTGAGGATAAAGAGTAGATAACAGTTTATAGAATAAGATGTTAGAGGTGCAAGAGCTTTATCTCAAAATTTATTAATGTTGTAGCATGTATAGTATTCCATTATAAATAGTATTCCACTGTAGGGATACACCATATTTGTTTACCCGTTAGTTATTTGGCATTTGATTTGTGTCTTATATAGTGAATTTTTTCCTATAATTTCTTTGGGCTTCCAACCCCCAAATAATGGCACAGAGACTTATTATTAATTATGAAAGCTTGACCTTTAGCTTAGACTTGTTCCCAAATAGCTCTTATAACTTTAAATTAACCTGTTTCTATTAATCTCATTTTGCCACGTGGCTTTTTGCCTCTTCTCCATTGTGTGTTTCTGACTCCCTTTGTGTCTTGCTGAATCTCCTGCCACACCAGATTCTAACACCAAGTTCCTCTCTCTACTCAGAAGTTCTGCTCACTCTCGCCTGCCTAGCTCTTGACCATTGCTCTTTGTTAAACCAATCAAGTGCTTTAGTCAGGTGAGTCAAAACAGACACATCTTCACACAGTGTAAACAAATATCCCTCAACAGTCTTACTTAGGGCTTTATTGCTGTGCAGAGACACCAAGACCACAGCAACTCTCATAAAGGAAAACATTTAACTGGGGCTGGGTTACAGTCCAGAGGTTTAGTCCATTATCTTCGTAGTAGAAAACATGGTAGCATGCAGGCAGACGTGGTGCTGGAGAGGGAGCCAAGAGTTCTATGTGTGGACTGGCAGGCAGTAGGGAGAGTGACACTGGGCCTGCCTTGAACATCTGAAACCCCAAAGCCCACCCCCTAGTGACACACTTCCTCCAACATGGCCACACCTCCTAATAGTACCACTGTCTATGAGCCTGTGGAAGTCATTTTCTTTCAAACCACAAGTTGCTTCTACTTTTTCCATATTATTAACACTAACATTGCTATACAAGTTTCTGTATTGAGTTCCATTATAATTTCTTTAGGAGACACACCTAGAAGGAGAATTGCTGAGTTATGTAGTAATCCTATGTTTGGTTCAAGGAAGTACCAGACTCTGCCTGCAAGCATCAAGCAAGTTCTCAAAACCTGCCCTCAGTGACACACTTCCTTCAGCAAGGCCACATCTGGTAAACCTACCAAAATAATGTTACCAACTAAAAATCAAATATGCCCCAGATTATTGGGAGATATATCATTCAAACCACCCTAGTGTTGCTCAATATATAAAAGTGTGTGTGTGTTTGAAAGAGAGAATTGCTAACTGTATAATGTAAAATAAATTACAGAATTATTTTTAAATTTCCATTTAAAATATTTAATATAAATAATTCAAACAAGAATACCAGGATTGTTGAAATCATTAGATAAAAAGTCTTCGGGCTACAGGTGAAGACATACTATATCCACAGTCATTTACTGAAACTTTTTTGCAATGTCCAATTTCAGTAACCCATAAATTACTCCACTAAAGGGGAAATGGGTTTTACAAAAGTGAGTTGCTTTAATAATACCCTAAGTAGGGACCATGGATCTGGCCATTAAGAGGCTGGCGGTGTGTGGGTCAGCAGAGTGTAGGCAACAAAACTGAGGAGGCGAATGGGATGGAAATACCTCATGATCGAAGAGTGTGAAGGGATGGGTCTGGAGGATGCTGACCACACCAAAGTTTGCACAGAGAGGCAGAAACATCAAAAACAAATTTTAAAAAGGAGTAAGGATTTTTTTTTAGTATTTGTTGCATTTCGCTTTTCCTTGTAATTTGCCTCCAGCCTTTCTGAGTGCCACAGCATCTTGTACCTGATTTCTCTTCACATTTGCTATCAGACTATATATAACTTCAGACTGGCTTCACAACTCTGGGGAGATGCTCATTAGACATTGGACAGTTACAGAGCATAGTGAGTCTCTAGCTTTGATCTAAATTAGCCTAATTTTAAGACTCAGACTTGCTTAGTATACATACACAAGAATACACACTGTCTTCTTTTTAAAATATGACCTTACTTTTAAAACGAAACTTAAAAGATGCTGGAGGATAATGCAAAGTGCTTTTATTTGTCAAAATGTTGCTAGTGTGTATTGGAGCAGCCAGAATAATGATGGTTTCTGTATTTCTGTCACTAGATAATGCTTTTAAATTCTGCGTGTGCCAGGGGGTGCTGTTTATTTGTGTGTGTGTTTGTTGGGAATATTGCAGTATATAGTCTGTCACTGTCTTCACAGTCTGGGGGTGGGCCAAGGTACAGAGGGTGTGACGCTGGTATTTGTGTGAACTCCAGCTGGTGATGCTGAGCTTGGTTCATCTGCTTTCTCCTCCCTTTTCCTCCCCAGTCCTTCCCACCAGCGCCACAGCAACATCCTCCGAGTCTGAGAGAATTGCGCCCAGAGCGGGCACAGAGCCTTTCACTGCTGGCAACCTGCGGCCCTGGAGAAGACCACAAGAGGAGTGACAGCGCCTCTCCACCGCCAGCCTACGGACCGCCATGGCCAAGAGCCGCAGGGACAGAAACAGTTGGGGTGAGTAGCAGTCAGTAACTTGGGCAGCCTTCACAGGGTCTAGTCCTCTGTTTTCTGGTACTGGGTGCCTGCCTCTGCAGCTAGAGACAGCTCACTGCTCCGATGAATCGCGCTGTCACCGGTGCTGAGCCTGGTGCAGGCCAGGCCTGCGGGCTCCTTCCCTATCCCGCGCCGCCTCCTCCCAGCATTTGGACAGCACCCACCCGGCTCCTCTGGGGACTCTGGGCTCCGCCCTAAGAGCCAGGTTAGAAGGTTGGCGCAGAAGGTGGTCTAGGGCTGTGTTTGCAGGCGAAGACGGGCAAATGGTCGATCTGGAGCGGGCAAAGCCCCAACCCGCTTTCTGGGGCAAGGGCTTATTCCGATGCTGGCAGGCTCTGGGCGGGTGGTGAAACAATGAGGCGGAGCGCGCGAGCTAGGACACTGTGCTGCAGAGCGTCTCAGCAGCCTGGGAGATGGGGTACCCTCCTGAGAGTCCCTAGCACTGCACACTTACTTCATTTTGGGGTTAGTGGAGGAATGGAGAAGAAGGCGAGCAGAGTTGGGGTTTCTAGCCTGCCGCCCAACACAGACCTTCATTAGGCTAGCCTCAAGACTGGCTTTGTTCTTCGATTTTTACCTTGTAGAGATACTGGGTTCATGATTCAGCACCGGGCCTAAGGAAGGGCTGGGCCCAGTGGGTTCACGCGCGAGTGGGTGGGCGGTGCTCACGCAGGCAGAGCGGAGAGGAGCACAGCGATGCGAGAAAAACCGCGCCCCGCCCGCTGTGCTGTTCCGGACCCTATCTGGAGGAGTGTGGGCGCCTGGGCGGTATTGTGGGGTTGGGCTCTCGATTTCTTGCAGGCACAGTAGTTAGCACATCAGCATCTTAACTAAAAACCTATAAACACATTTTATGATCCGAACCAGCGCGGATCTCAAACCACAGGCAGGTGGTATATAGAAAAACATTGTGTTCTATTGGCTTTGCATTGTTATTGTTTTGAAAGTTCACGCCCACTAGGAGTTCGTTGCTTCTTGGTTCTCTGTCTCCTGTTCTATTTCTGTCTTACTAAGAGGATAGATGTACCTTTTAGTTGGTTATTTTTGTTTCCTTTTGTCAAAAGATCATAATGTCTCCTTGCCTTCTGTTGATGTGGTGGTCACAAGATCAGTTACTCCTGTGGGCAAGGCTTACATTTGAGAGAGTACCCTAGATTCCCGGTTGCTGTGGAGAGGTGGAGAAGGCAGTCAGTATTTGACTAAATTTAAGAGAAGCAATTTCATTTTCCCAGACCACCAAGCCCAAATTTCAATATTGCAGGCACAGTCTTTGCTTCTTTTGAAAACTTGGGTAGAGGTCTCTGGTGTCCCTTTCCATTCCTGTTCGTGTTCTGGAATAGGAATTTGGACACTTGACCGTTCACGATGAAGGTGCATATGTTCAACTCGGATTTTAGTCTTGATCTTTGGATTGGATTATGGACTCCACCCTGCTAGGAGCCAAGCACGTGGAAATATATTCTAAGAATTCTTTATTATGCTTTGGGTCATCATTCTTCAGTATTTGGTTACAGGTTTCTTAGATAGCCCCTTCCCCAATGCCATTCTTAAGTGAGATTTCCATAAGAACAAATTGGAAAATCAATAGAAATGAAGATTCCTTCAGCATTCATCCAGGGGTTTTGAGTCAACAGGTCTGAAGTAGGGCCTAGAAATGTGTCTTTTGACTAGTAGGTGGCAGAGGAGCAGGTCATCTATGATGTTATTTTGAGAAACAGTCTCTTAGCTCATTTATGTTTGATAGAATCATCTTCCAAACAGTTTACCCCAAAGTCATCAGGGCAATATAAATGTAAGTGATAAATTAGGAGGAAAATGCCAGAGTCATTATATGTCCACTGGAAACTCCCTATTAAAAATAAACACTGAAATTGTGGGGTGTGACCTCAATATCCTACGGGAAATGCTTCACTCCTTAGGTTTTCACTTGCTGTGCAGTGTGTATAAAACATATTATTTGGATTTGTAGTAATAAGAGGTAGACATTTTAACAAAGATATTAGCCATTTCTGCCTTAATTCCATTTTATTTACAGCGCCTGGTATAGTACTGTCTACCTAACACACAGTAGGTATCTAATGATAGCAGTAGAGGCCTACATCATTGAAATAACCTCATGGGGGGCAGACACTGTAATCTTCACTTTTCATGCTAAATGACAGGGCTAGAAAATGATAGATCGGAATTTCCATCCGGGAACTTGATTTGAGATTCTTTTTCCTTCCCCTCTGTTTTAGACCTCCTCTGAGTCGATGGATGATTCTGTCCACAGTTATGCAGAACTACATTGCCAGTGCAAATTCAGCTGAATTATCCTGTTTGGTCTTCAGCCTTTTAAATAATTGTGTTTACTATCTATTTTATAGATGGGAAAAAAGTGAAAGTCACTGGTAAGATAAATTACATAGTTTAAGTGATATATTTTGTAAGTTAGAGAACCTTGGTTAGAAGCTAGGGTTTTCTTCTGATTTACCTTTCATAGCACAATACTGTGGAGTGTTTTTACAAAAGAATGAGTCAGGATGTAAGGTAGGGAAATCAGGTTCTCAGAAGAAGTCATAGGTTACTCTTACGAGAAACCAGTCTGCTGATGCATAAAGAACAGTGCATCGGCCCTTCCTGCCAACTGTCACCAGACATTATAAAGGAGAAAACTGAGACAAAGCAGTTAACCCAGACTTGGGAAATGCAGTGATTCCCAAGTAAAGAACAAGAATGGCATTTGCAAATCTGCACATAAAAGCTCGGGACCTGTAGAACTCTTGAGATGAGGAGTTCACTGAGGGGACCCTGCCATTTAGGTCTTGCAGAGATCAGGGAGGCTAGAGAACAGAAACGCTTGTGCTGTTGAGGTGGTGTTGAGGATATTTGGAGACACCACTGGGAAGCCCGTGTGTGGACAGCTGAGAATCCACCACCTGACCCGAGTCTGCATGTAGGGAGTTTGAGTCTATGTAAGCATTGAAGAGACAACTTTTCAAGGGTGGGCATTATTACTATTGTTTTCATGATTGGGAAATCTGAGATTCGAGACCCCGAGGAACTTGCCAGAGGCACCACGGGTTTCTGTGTTCTAGAACTAGGATTTAAGTCAGGATTGGTTGTTCCTACTGCCCATTGACTGAGGACTAGAAGCTAGAAGAGATGCCAAACATTGTCACAACAAGCCTATCTAGGACTAAGCTGGTGAGAGAAATCAATGCCTATAAACCCAGTCACCTTGGACTGGAAAAGCAGATGAAGTGCGCTGGTGTAGGAGGGAAACGGTACAGAGGAGTATCGGAAACAGGAGCCCAGAAAGCAGCCTGTCCGCCAGGCCGGAGGACAGCTACCAGACAGAGCAGCAGTGTCAGCCTTTCTGTTTGTTTGTTTCTGGTAATTTAACTTCCTCAAAAACTTGAGATACAATGTAAGAATTTACTGTTCTATAATTTGACAAAAACTGACAGTATAATAATACTGTACGAAAATGTTTGAAATAAAGTTTTAACTTGGGCTGCCTGGAAACAAACACCATCTTAGTTTCACAGTAAATATAAGAAATTCCTATTTGTAGAAAAGGCATTTGTGGGAATTTTAGGCTAGGACGTTTTAGGTTTCTGGTTTTGTTTTTGAGGGGAAATTAGCCGCAGTGTGGATATAATACGGTTATGAGCAGAACTGTGATGAATGGGCTAACACTGAAGAAGGAAGATGTGGAAGTTATAATTTAACAAGTTTGCTAAGTGCGTCCTTGAAGCTTGGGAATGAGAGAAATGGATTTAAGAAATAGAGTGGATATGAGCCCCTTATACAACCAGTAATGCGCATGGTGTGAAGTGGGGGGATGTGTGAAGTCCCCAGACCTGGGGTCCCTTTTACAACTAGTAATGTGCATGGTGTGAAGTGGGGGAGGTGTGAAGTAGTCAGACCTGGGGCCCCTTATGCAACCAGTAATGTGCATGGTGTGAAGTGGGGGGAGATGTGAAGTACTCAGACCTGGGGTCCCTTTTACAACCAGTAATGTGTATGGAGTGAAGTGGTGGGGGTGTGAAGTCCCCAGACCTGAGATCTACTAGGACAACCAGTAATGAGCATTGTATGGGGGTTGTGATTCAAGTAAGAATTTGAAGTGGATCAAAGAAAATAAATCAAAGTAAAGAAATACTGTGTAATCAGAAAGCGCTATTTCTAGATCTTAGATCAAAGTCCAGGCCCAGATCCAACTCTAGGTTTTTCTATGGAAGAAGCTTTCAAAGGTGTGGTGCAAGATCATCAGTCCCACTCCCTGGTTCTAGAGCTGAGAGTGTCTCAGAGGGCACAGCTGCTGGCTCCCGTGTCTGCTCAGATCTGTCACGCTGGGGATCAGGGAATGCTGCTTTGGATCGTATGAGCTGAGTTTGTACACTATTGAAAAGGATTGGAAAGACATATTCTTTAGGTGATTCCCATTACTGATGTTGTATATGACCAGCAGTCTAAGTGTTTGAATGAGTTTGCCTTTGTGTGTTTTGGAAATACAGATAATGCCAAAGAAGCTAAAGAACGTTCTGGTGAAATGGAAATTAATTAGAGTAGAACAGAGCTGTGTCTCTCTAGCAAAAGGACCACATCCCCAGCGCCAGGCATTCACATGGGAGAACTCCCTGTGTCAGGTCACACTGTCAGGATTGTCACGACAGAGGGTGTGGCTGGCTATGATGATTGGAACGACTGGCCAGTCATATACAGGAGGAGGTGGAAAAGCTGGTGGGTGAAGAGTCGCTCGAGACAGAGGTCAGATCCAGAGACGATGCCACATTCTTCTTTCCATAGTCATGGAGGGTGCAGAGTACATTTCAGATCATGATCCTGCTTGCTTCCTGGCTACTGAAGTGGGAAGTTGACTTTGAAACCCGCCATAGAGCTGGGCTACTGTTTATGGTCGATACTGCTTATTGTCTCCTGTTTAAAAAGTAACCACACCTAGCTGTATTAGTTCC